AGTCTCTTATGCTTTGCTTCCCTTTCTGTTTGCATTTTATTTTTCCTTCCCTTCCCCTATGTTCATCTGTTTTGTTTCTTAAATTCCACATGAGTAAAATCACATGGTATTTGTCTTTCTCTGATTGACTTATTTCACTTAGCATAATACCCTCTTGTTCCACCCACGTCGTTGCAAATGGTAAGATTTCATTCTTTTTGACGGCTGAGTAATATTCCTCTGTGTGTGTGTGTGTGTGTGTGTGTGTGTGTGTGTGTGTGTGTGTACACCACATCTTCTTTATCCATTCATCTGTTGTTGGACATCTAGGCTCTTTCTATAGTTTGGCTATTGTGGACATTGCTGCTATAAATATTGGGGTGCACCTACCCCTTCGGATCACTATGTATCCTTTGGATAAATACCTAGTAGTGCAATTGCTGGGTCATAGGGTAGCTCTATTTTTAACTTTTTGAGGAACCTCCATACTGTTTCCCAGAGTGGCTGCACCAGCTTGCATTCCCACCAACAGTGTAGGAGGGTTCCCCTTTCTCCACATCCTCGCCAACACCTGTTGTTTCTTGTGTTGTTGATTTTAGCCATTCTGACTGGTGTGCGGTGATATCTCATTGTGATTTTGATGAGTACTGTTTTGTCAGGATGACTCTCTTTCTAAATTCAAACTGCATTACTTCCCAGGTAATTTTTGAAGCCATTCGGGGACTGTCTGTGAGAAGTGATATTGCCATTGATGATGTTAAATTCCAAGCCGGACCCTGCACAGGTAACAATGTTTTCCCCAATTATATCAGCTTGATTGAAAGGGGATTTTGCCTCAGCCTCAAATCATAAGAATGCAAATTAAGTATTTTTCTACAATAAAAATAGAGAAAATTACCGTTGTCTCTTTTTTATTTGTCTTTCCTGACAGAAATGAAAGATTTAACTCAGCAATCATCAGGATATTCTGAGGATTTAAACGAAATTGAGTTTTAAGAAATGATCTGAATTGGATCAACTAAACAAGAGCCATACCTCTCTTCCATCGAAATGAAAGCAAAACGAATGAATACTGGACAGTCTTATAACCATTTCATAAGTTATAAAATGACTTCACAGCACAGCACTCTTTTTCATTACTTTTGCAAAAAATACTGACTCAGGGCTTTTTGTTTTGTTTTGTTTCGTTTTGTTTCCTTTCTGCGTATGACAACTGTTATGAAAGCAGGCTGTTGATTTTGCAAAGATCACTCATCTTAATTTTGGTTCCAGTTAAAAATGCAAATGTACTGTATTGCAGTCATTTTAAAGTATGCAAATGAAGGGCACAAGCAAAATGAGATGTGCTCATTTAACTGTGCATTCAGTGAATGTATTGGGAGGAGACTAAGTCTTGCAGGTTTCTTTTTGAATTTCAAGCATCATTAATTATTTTTAAAGTAATAATGTGAGGTGTCACTGGTATCTGCAGAATGAATGCAGTGTTTTCATGGTAACAAGTCAGGCTAAGAAAATAAAATCTTATTGCCTATGTTTTATTCATAGAAAGGGAGTATTAATTTTTAAATATTTTTACCATATGTGATAACAAAGGATCTCTTCACGAATGTCCCAGGGTAAGTCAGTATTAATTAATGCTGCATTACAAGGCAATGCTACTTTCTTTTTCCCCCCTTTGAACTCCTTTGAAAGTCACTCTGAACACATGGATTAGAAATTGCACTCTTTTTTTGTAAAGCAAGCTTGAAAATGTTTACGGACATACACCCAAAAATTTTTAGGATATGTTAAGCAATTTTACCAGGTTTTTTTTTTATAATAAATGGTTTGGTAAGGTTTTGAGTAATATGAATTCAAGCAGATATACTAAACTACTGCTTTTTATTTACATGTTTAGAAAATTGTATATACATATTTGTATACCCAAACAGCTTTTCTAAGATTACCTAATAAAAGGTAATTTGAAAATTTTTTCACTAGCAATTAACTCATTTCTACATTATTTTTCTTGTTCAGGAGATCTCCAGGGGCGCCTGGGGGGCTCAGTCGTTAAGCGCCTGCCTTCGGCTCAGGTCATGGTCCCAGGGTCCTGGGATCGAGG